TCCAGACCCTAGATTTATGTCACCTCCTTCAGGAAGCCTTCCCTGATTTCCTAAGTCTGGGCAAGGTGTACTTTCCAGGCATGTCCCCATTACCATACCTATCACATCCTGCTACCATGATTATATTTATAGACATTGTATAACTATACACACACACACACACTCCAACTAATCAATAAGGGGTGGGGGAGAGTCTCCTGTCTGGTTTGTGCACCAGTGGGGATCAGGCCAGACGTCCAGACCCTGTGTCCACTTTAAGTGGGTAAGAGCCACCTGCCTGTTCTTTGCTGTCTTTGTGTCAGGTACATGGCCAGAACTATATATCCATGTTGAATGAATGAGTGCAATAAATGAAAATCAGAAAACTCAGGTCCGTCCATTCACTCAAGGGCTGTTTGCTGAGCACCTACTTACTACGTACCATGCACTGTTCCATGCCCTGGGGTACAGCCGTGAACCAGGCAAACTCAGCGCCCTGCTTTCATGGAAGTGCACCTCATGTGGGAAGAAAGACACTAGACAAAATAAGTAAGGAAATCGGGCAGGTCCTCAAACAGTTAAACACAGAGTCACCATCTGACCAAGCAAGTCCACTCCTAGGTGTCTTCCCCAGAGAAATGAAAACATACATCCACACCAAAATGGGTACACAAATGTTCACAACAGCCAAAAAGTAGAAACCACCCACATGCCCATCAATCACTGAGTGGAGAAACAAAACGCGGTCCGTCCTACAATGGAACGGTATTTGGCAACAAAAGGGAATGAAGTCCTGACACACATGACAGCAAGGATGAACCCTGGGAACACTGTGCTGAGCACAAGCAGCCAGTCACAAAGGACCACATACTGTATGATTTGTATGAAGCGTCCAGAAGAGGCAAACCGACAGGGAGAGAAAGTAGATTAGCAGTTGTCGGGGGCCGGGAGGAGGCTGGGGCACGGGCACTGGTAGCTAAAGGGTAGGGAGGTTCTTTGGGAGCTGATGAAAATGTTCTCAAATTGATTTTGGTGAGGGCTGCACAACTCTGTGAATACACTAAAAACCACTGAATGTACACTTAAACTAGGTGAATTGCATGAAATGTGAATTGTATTTCAATAAAGCTGCTACATCCCTACGCACACACACACATACGTACAGGGCAGGGGGTGAGGCTCAGAGAGGGAGAGATGTACTTTTAGAAAAGGGGATCAGAGAACCCCTCACATAGATGACATTTGAATAAAAACATAAAGGGGGGTCCTATAGATATCCAGGGGCAAGACCCAAAGTTCACCCCAAATTCCACTGCTATCCATTCATTCGGAATCACATCTTCCCTGACCCGCCTTCCTGGCTGGCTCTGCTTCTCCCAGGGCTGGGCGTCTCAGCTGTGTTCTGTGGAGCAACAGCGACACCAAGTGGTGGTTCCTGAGTAACATTCCGCAGAGGAACCGCTCCATCTTTGGGAGTCAGAATATAAGATCCAGGGGGCCACTAAGGAAGTGACAGGCCAGGCAGTGGGACCCCTGAGTCTCTCCACCGTTTAACAGCTGGGGAATGGGAAAGTGAATGGGGCGCAGTTTTCTGGCTTTCCCTTCGAGGCACATCCAGATCAAAAGAACACTTTAACCACCTTCACGGTCAATATCACCCCATTCGTGCCTCCCTTCTATACTCGTTACAGGCAGCTGCTGTGACTAGAGGGGAAGGATTCCCCCTTCAGCACTCTTCTTGGCCCTTTAGGACATGCCGCAGAGGGATGGACCCACTCCCTAGCAACCAAGCCCCTCCTACCATTGAAAATGGTAAAAATCTTCAGCATTTGGCCAGAAACCCAAATCCTCTGTAATCACACAATGTCCGTCTGTGGCCCACCCCCCAAGTAGTGTTCTTTTGAGACCGTGTACTAGATTTGATTGATCAGTCCTATAATCCTGACAGTTGTGTTATTACAGGCAGGGGGGTTTTACTTAGGGAATCTCTTGAGCACGTTCAAATTTCTTATGCTGAGACAATAACCTTCACAGCCTCCCAAAAGGAAGCAAGTTTCAGTAAACAATTTCCCTGGAGAGCTGGTGCGGCTGATATTAAAAGGGGAGGTCTCCCCTCCAGATACTCATTTATTCATTCTGGAACCATCTACTGCTCACCAACACAGTGTTGGGACTATAAAAACGAAGGATGCAGAGCTCCTGAGGGTCAGAACAACGTACAGGCTGGAGGTACCTCCCCTGGGCCCACCTCAGAGCCTGCAGTGTCTCCCATGACTGTGAGTGCCTTTGGATGTTGACAATTCATCCCAGGGAAGTCCAGTCTCATATGGGGGTTGATTATTACAGATCAAAATTTTCCTGTACTTTTCTTGCCTTCTCCAAACCAAGTACTAGAGGAGGTGAAATGTGTGCTTTCTATCAAATCCAGTGTTGCAATGAACCTTTGTAAAGCATGGAAAGGGCCGACCAGTACGCTCAGTACAGCTCTCCAATGACCATACCTGGGCCCATCCATGCCTTGGGGGATTCCTGCTTTAGTGATGATAGATTTTATGTTAAATGTATCATTGTGTACTTTGCTCTTAAGAAATTTCAAGTCATAAACCCCTGGCATCAAGGAAAAGAGAAACATTTCATTTCAGATGGTCATCCCGCCCAGCAGACGCTGGGGTCTCAGCACCTCTGAGGATGCTGCTCGCCAGCCACGTACCTGCCAGCAGGCCAATGAGCAGCATCACCACCCATCCGGACCAGGCGTCCAGCAAGCTCTTGATGAACTCCCATATGGACTCCTTGCTCTTGCTGGTTATCTAGAAACAAAAAGACATGCAGCTGATGTGGGTACACTTCCCAGTTCGTGCTTTCTTCCCTGAAACTGTTTCCTCTGGCAACAGGGTGACTGAGAAGACAAATATAATCAAGCAAGTAGATTCCCTCTTAACGTTAAGAATAACACTCAGTTACCTAGCACAGTCATCCAATGGGCTTCCTAGTTCACAGAGCTGTCAAGACGCCGTAAGAGTCTCCAAAGAATTAGAATCCACAGAAACTCCATTAAAAACCTTCTAAAGGTGATTTGCTCTTTGATGATTCCAAAGCCATTCTCAACAGAGACACCAATTTGGTGTCACCATTTTGAATATGAATCACTATTTAGCTGACATCTAGGTCTGTTCACGAAAGACCCTCTTCAACAAGCACTTCATTTCCTTCTTTTGCTTTCCAGGTTAAATGTTAACAGCAAGAACTTTTCTTTTAAATTGAAGCATCGTTAATTTACAATGTTGTGTTAGTATCTAGTGTACACCAAAGTAATTCAGTTATATATATATTTTTTACATTCTTTTCCTTTTTACTTTATTACAAGATATTAAATATAGTTCCCTGTGCTATACAGTAGGACCTTGTTTATTTATTTTATAATTAGCATTTTGCATCTGTTAATCCCGAACTCCCAATTTATCCCTTCCCCGCCAACCCTGGTAACTATAAATTTGTTTTGTATGTCTGTGAGTCTGCTTCTCTTTTGTAAATAAGTTCTTTTGTGTTATATTTTAGATTCCACATATAAGTGATATCATAATATTTGTCTTTCTCTGTCTGACTTACTTCACTTGGTATGATCATCTCTAGGCCCATCCATGTTGCTGCAAATGGCATTATTTCATTCTTTCTCATGGCTGAGTAGTATTGTTTTATATATATATATATATATATATATATATATATATATATATATATATATATATATATATATATATATATATATATATATATATACACCAAATCTTTATGCACACACCTATCAATAGATATTTAGGTTGCTTCCATGTCTTGCTATTGTAAATAGTGCAGCTATGAACATCGGGGTGCATGTGTCTTTTTGAAGTACGGTTCCTTTTGGATATATGCCCAGGAGCGGGATTCCTGGGTCATATGGTAAGTCTATTCCTAGTCTTTTGAGGAACCTCCATACTGTTTTCCATGGTGGCTGCACCAGTTAACATTCCCACCAGGAGTGTAGGAGGGTTCCCTTCCCTCCACACCCTCTCCAGCATTCATTGTTTGTGGACTTTTTGATAATGGCCATTCTGACTGGTGTGAGGTGATACCTCGGTATAGTTTTGATTAACAGCAAGAAAGCTGAATGAGCCAGCATGGGTCACGTCTAAACGTGAACAGCCAGACAGCTACGTCTAAACACACTGTAAGAGCACCCCTGTGCCTCGCTGTGTTAATAGAATCCTACATTCCTCCGAGATCATCATTCCCCTCATAACCCTTTAGAGCAACGGTTGGCAAACATTTTCTGTAAAGAGACAGAAAGTAAATATTCTCAGCTCGGCAGGTCAGATGGTCTCCGTGGCAACCACTGGACTCGGCTGCTATAGTCCAAGCCATAAAGCGCATGTGCATGCGCAGGCCTGGCTGCGTTCCAAGAAAGTGGTACCTACGTGAACCCCTGCGGAGCTGCATTGGGCCCATGGCCACAGTTCCATCGCCCCTGCTCCCGACTGAAGGCTGCCCCATCTCCTCCGTTCCTCCAGGTTGGAGCCAAGCAGCTGCCTCAGCTTCCTGACTCTACGTCACTCCCTACACGTCTCACTGCGTCCTTGCCCTGCCAACTTGCGTGACATGATGACACAGTCACACTCTCGATGTCACTGCTCATTCAGCGCACTCTCTGAAGATGCTCTCCCTGAGTCACCGCCAGCGCCCCCGTAGTTGCTTTGTCTCTGACTTGACCTCTCCATGGAGGGGTCCTGGCTAGCAGCCCCATCCTCGCCACTATCTCCCCCTTTCACTTGTGGCCCCTCCTTGCCAGCTCCCTCTACCTCTACCTGCTTCTTCTAAGCGTCTGTCACTAGCCCCAGGCCCCGCCCACTGTACCCACTAAATCCCAGCACTGCCCCGGGCTGACTGCTCCTCACCTCTTCCGCTACAGACCCAGGCCACCTGCCGTGGTCTTTCACGCCTCTGTGACCTAAAAGGGCCACTCCTGATTAGAACCCTTTCCCCTTCCTCTGTGAGGCAAACTCTTAGTCATCTTTCAAGACCCAAGTGAAATGTCACCCTCTCTAAAATACCCCCCCAACCATCCCTCCTAAATGACCCCATAGCACTTGATACGTAACTTTATCATAGCCCGTTAAAACGTATACTGATGCCAGGCACCGTAATGCGTGCTTTCGCGCACACACAGCCTCATTTAATCTTCAGGTAGAATTAACTCCATCCTTACAGAAGAGAAGATGTGGTCCAGAAATGGCACCCCAAAAGTCACCTGGCCTGAAAGTGTCAAGGGCAAGATGCCTCTGATCTGTCACCTGGTATTATAATTACCTGTCCCCGTCTCTGCCTCTCCCACTAGCCAATCTCTTCTTTGGAACCTAGTCCCGCACGTGACCTGTGAAGCACGCGTTAGCTCACTACCTGTTCAACGAAGGCGTGGCCTAGCTGTTTGAAAGGATTCCCCTCAACGTGCCCTTACGCACCCCACCTACCTTTCTGTGTCTGTCGGTGTCCCGTGACTTTTCCCTTAGCCAGTCGATGGTGTGGAAGTCCTCATACGTCCCCACGTCGGGGAAGGGCTCGTCAAGGAAATCCATCAGGTTTCCAGAGCCACTCATCACTCCCGCGTCGACCACGCTACTTACACCTGGGAAGGAAAACCTGTGGTTAGACACGTAAGCAGGACACGTGCATGGAAGCATCAGAACAATCCACGTGTGCTATTTTCTCGTACGAGACTTATTTCAGCCCAGGCACCTCTGCTGTAGTGAAATACACATATAGTCCATCTCAGTCAGTCTGTACTGCTATAACAAAAGTACCATAGACTGGGTGGCTTACAACAACACGCATTTATTTCTCACAGTTCTGGAGGCTGGGAAGCCCAAGATCAAGGTGCGGTGGAAGGGGCGGGGGGCCCTCTGGGGTCTCTTTTATAAGGGCACTAATCCCACCCAAGACGGCTCAGCTTTCATGACCTCATCCCCTCTCCAAGGCCCCATCCTAATACCATCACACTGGCAGTTGGGTTTCAACATAGGAACTTTGAGGGGACACAAACATTCAGTGTATAGCATAGTTGATTTTTGTTATCTGCAGTAGTTATGTGCTAAGTCACCATGGACATCGAATTAGTGACTACTAAAGCACTGTCCCTAAGAGAAATACAGGATTAGGTTCCTTTGAGATTCTGGTCACATTTTCATCAACCAATCAATACATAACCTTGTTTTGCATTTCCATTTAAAGACGCCTTATTGAACACGCATTGCTGACTCATCCACACTGAACTCACGGCCAATGACACTACCGCTCATGCCTGTGGGAAGCTTGTCTAACACACGTATTTTCTCCATAAGGCACACTGCAGCCTTTTTGTGCTTAGAAACACTCAAGGCACTCCCGTCCTGCATTTTAGGGCCATTGGCAACAGTGAAATTACCAATAAAAAAGGACAAAAAATTAAAAACTATGGTACTAAAGAGACTGCAGAAAGGACACTTGTTTCCAGTCTGGAAGCTGAAACAAGACGGCGGAACCCTGCCTTCTTCAGCCTCAGCTGGGAACGTGCATTTCCAACAAGTCGAACTTTTTGGGACTGGGCGCATGCACTCTGTGCTCCCCATGTACTGATCTGGGGGTTACAGATGCATTTTAGTGAGCAGGCAAATTCACAAGTACGGAACCGCTAATAATGAGGATCGACGACATACATTTCCAAAAAAACCTCATGTTCTGCAAAAGCCAGGCATCAAAATGAGAGGGCTGGAGGGACACACGGGGTGGAGACACACCACCGGAAACGAAGTCATTGTAACCAAACCGGTAACCGGTCCTCCTGGGAGATAAAGCGGAGCAGTCGGGCAGGCAGCCTATGCGGTTGTCACTGCGGATAGTCAAGATACAGCCACAGCAGAGCGAAAACGCCAGCGAGACTTTAAGCAGCTGGTGGCAGCCGGGGCAATGTGCAGGGGACAGTGGTCCTCTGCATCAGGGGGCTGCCATGGGGACGGACAAGGAGGCAGGACAACCTGCCACAGAGCTATGCTATGGTCTGAATGTTTGTGTCCCCCACGTCCCATTCATATGTTGAAATCCTAACCCGCAAAGCTATGGTATTGGTAGGTGAGGTCTTTGGGAGGTGACTGGGGCATAAGGGAAGTGCCCTCATGAATGGGATTGGTGTCCTTCTAAAAGAGACGCCAGGGAGCTCCCCCGCCCCTTCCACCAGGTAAGAACACAGCAAGAAATCTGTGATGGGGAAGAGAGCCCTCACCTGACCAGGCTGGCACCCTGATCTCGGACTTCAGCCTCCAGACTGTGAGGAGTCACTGTCTGTTGTTTACAAGCCACCCAGCCTGTGGGCTTCTGTTACAGCAGCCCGAATGGACGGAGACAAGCCAAGAGCCAAGCCAGGCTGGCAGCAAGGTGGCCCGGGCAAGCGGCTCTGGGCGCAGGCACTCACTTCTAGTTTTCCTTAAAATCCACTCAAAAGAGCACCCGCGGCCAGGGCAGTAGCAAGGCTGAGGGTTTCTTCCTTTCCTGCCTAAGGTAGCAGTTCCACTCCCGCTATTCTGGTTCCCCTCGTCTGGAAAACAATCACAAATAAACCAAGACATCTTCCACGTGATGCCACCCGCAGAGCCTGACTTACAGATCACACAGGAGCTAAGCTGACACGGAGAAAATGCTCACCACCAGTCAGCAAGAAAAAGAATACACTCTTACAGAGACAAGAGGTTGGAATAAGCACTAAATAAAAATTACTTTGGCAAAGAGTATGGAAATTGGAATTATAGGGTGAGGACCACAAAAGTGCCGGAATTGATGGTTAAAGAGGTGAGGGGTAGTTATAAAGCTATTTAAGCACAGGCTTCTCTCATTGCTCTCTGTGCTTTTAGATCTGGAGGACCCAACCACGACCTGATGAAAGTGCATTTTACTCAAATTGAAAAGTCGTTATGGGCAAAGTGGAGTAATCACCTTACAAGCAATAAGTGGCCATGGTGATTGATTTATTGACTGTCTGCATAACTCAGCTGCCTTAAAACTTTAAAAGTTTGAAGCTGAGCCATGCCAAGCTGAAAACTATACCTGCTGATGAGTGCCCAGGGAAGAATCACATTGCATAAGCCAGTAGCAACCGATGATAAAACGGAAGGGATCAAATTAGAAAGTAAAGATTTCATTCTCATTTCCATGAAAACAAGATGGTAATAGCCTTATATTCTATGTGGAAAGGAAAATCTCTGATAAGAAAAAGAAGACAGCAGGCTGTTGACCCACAATGAGGAGCACTTGTAAGAAAAACTGAGCCAGCAGATCAAAGAGTTGCAGACTTGGACATTCTATTAAAAAGTTCACGTTACCTGAAATTTAACCATATCTCTGGTCAAGCAACAACTCCAGGCAATGATGGTTGAAACGAAAAGTCACTCTGGAGAACAAGTGCATCTTTAAACTTCCATGGAGCATGCCATGGTTGTGACAACCAGACACACAATTGGTCAAGGAAAATAAACATGATCTAATCCATAGATCTAACTGGGGGCGCCCTGGGGGCCCAGAAGGAGGTGGTGTCTTCATTTCTGAAGTTGGGGTTAAGCAAGACAGGAGGACCAGGAGAAGTGTAAGAGGGCATCCAGGTCAGAAAAATGGAAAGAATTCCATCTGGGATCCATCTGGGGGATATAGATGGATAAGAAATGAGAATCCAGCCAAACACAGGAGCAATAAGGAATGAACTCCAATGACTTGCTAACTGAGAAATAAACTTAACCCACGTAAATTCAATATGGCACCCAAATGGAAGCAAACACAGCTGACCCTTGAACAATACGGGTTGAATTGGGTGGGTCCACTTATACATGAATTTTTTTCAACAAATATAGTACCTGTATTTTCATTTTACACATCTTTAAATTAACTAAGTGTGGAGGAGAGTTTGTGTTCTATTATAGATCACAATATGTGGCATCAAAAGAATAAGGGTTTGAGTCCTGATTCTACTCAAACTATTTCGGCCTCCTGCCCTTGGGTGAGTCATTTATCAATGCCTTTGTTTTTCAGGCAGAGACAGCAGTATGCAGATGTCAACTGCGTAGGGGGTCAGTGTCCCTGAGCCCTGCACGTCCAAGGGTCAACTGTAGTCATTTGCACCTTACAGGGGAGCCCTTGCTCCTCTCGCCTGGTTTTCTTTCTTCTCTCCAATAACAGCACTTCTGCTGGCAGATGATACCTCTGCTCATGACCTCAAAGCCGTAATTTCAGGAAGGACAGCATCCTAGAGCCTGGATCTAAGATTCCTACTTGGTCTGGCTCATGGAGGGCAGGGCTCAGCAAACTGCAGCTTGTGCTCAAAATCCAGCCTGCTACCTGGTTTGGTAAATAAAGATCCGGTGGAACACAGCCATGCCTGCTCATTTATGTGTTGTCTACGGCTGCTTTCACACAACAGCAGAGCTCTTATGACAAAAACCACATGGCCCAAAAAGCATCAAATGTTTACTATTTGGCCAGTGACAGAAAACATTTGCTGACCCCTGATCTGTGCAGTGGACAGAAGGCAGAACAGCTCAGACTGTCCACCTGTCCCTGTATCTACCGCGTCTTCAATGGGACCCTGCAGCTCCTCTTTAAGAGGTGGAGTCTACTTCTCCACCCCTTGAATCGGGGCTGACTTTGGGACACACAGTGCAAGTGACAGCACACACATACTGAGTCTAGAGCCCCAAAGGTGACAGTCTCTGCTTTTAGCCCTGGCCCTCTGGCTCTGCCTTGGCCAGATGCTAGAAGATGAGAGACCGCACGGAGTCAAGTTCCATGGGCCATCCTAGGTCATCCAGGCCCGCCAAGCACAGGTTCATGATGGAGCCCAGCCAAGAGCAGCTGGCTGTGACCCAATCAAACCACCCAGCCGACCTGCAGACTGGGAGAAAAAGAAATGGTTCTGTTTTAAACCACCAAGTTTTCTGGAGGGTTTCTGTGCAGCAGCATCGTAACAATGTTTAACAGGTCGATTTACGTGGGCTCTGAGGGAGGGGAGACGCCAGCTCAGTTGGCTGCGGTGCTGCAGAGCAGCTCCGGGGAGGAGGACGGGGCAGCAAGAGCTGCCCGCAGACACAGGAGGGAATTGAATCGTACCCGTCTGACAGAAGAACATCTCTCTTCCACAACCGGATTTACCTACAAAGGGACTTTGTAAAACACGGGACGCCTTGGTCTTACAGCCAATCCTTTAAGGCAAGGAAGCAGCTGCAGCATATGAAGATGGGTGTGGGCTTTCCACATATGGCCTTCATCACGTTGAGGGAGTTTCCTTCTATTCCTAGTTGGCTGAATGTTTTTCATGACGAAAGGGTGCTGAATTGTGTCAAATGTTTTCTCTCCATCTACTGAGATGATCATGTAATTTTACTCTTCATTCTGTTAATGTCGTGTATCACGTGGATTGATTTTTCAGATGTTGAACCACCCTTGCAGCCTAGTGATAAATCCCATTTGGTCATGCTATATGACCCTTTCAATATGCTGCCGAATGCAGTTTGTTGTATTTTGTTGAGGATTTCTGCATCTATACTCCTCAGGGATACTGGCCTCTAATTTTCTTTTCTCATAGTGCTTTTTTCCAGCTTTGGGATGAGAGTA